GGATAAAACTTACCAGGAAAGGTTAAAGGATCTTAACATGTATAGCTTGGAGGAAAGACGAGACAGGGGGGATATGATAGAAACATTTAAATATATAAAGGGAATCAACACAGTAAAGGAGGAGACTATATTTAAAAGAAGAAAAACTACCACAACAAGAGGACATAAATTAGAGGGACAAAGGTTTAAAAATAATATCATCAAGTATTACTTTACTGAGAGGGTAGTGGGTGCATGGAAGAGCCTTCCAGCTGAAGTGGTAGAGGTTAACACAGTAAAGGAGTTTAAGCATGCGTGGGATAGGCATAAGGCTATACTAACTATAAGATAAGGCTAGGGACTAATGAAAGTATTTAGAAAATTGGGCAGACTAGATAGGCCGAATGGTTCTTATCTGCCGTCACATTCTATGTTTCTATGAAGTTCTGCATAGTATGATTGGAACGCCTTTAGAATTTCAGCTAGGTATCGTGTTTTCCCCCAGCTGTGCAGTTTAGTCATGTGTATATGGTGCATTCTCCATTTTCTCTGTAGGAACCGGGAAAGGAGCAATCCCCATTTATTAGAGTGCACATAAAAGTAACTATTATACTTCTGGTGGGTGTGGAGCAATCTCTAAGAGAGGAGGTCCTTAAGTGTCCAGCATGCGTCAGTCAATTGCAGGTGGATGTCATCGGCCAAGGATTGCTTGTGAACCGAGTCTAAGTTGGCAATTTTTCCTTGCCAATTCTGTTATATGTCGAGTTTGTTCTTTTTTGTTCATTTATGTGCTTCCCATACCATCAGGGGGAGGTGTCAAGGGATTAATTTGTCTCAAAGAAGTGAGAGAGGACCTGTCTGACCTGTGTCACATCCTCCAGTCCAGTCAATAGATTCTCGTTGAAACAGAAGAATTCTACATAAGCTGAAACCGGGGAGTGATCAGAACTACTCAAGGAGCTCATAGTTGAGGACAGTAATAAAGGAAGTTATTCTTATACCATAAATATGTAGTCTATACGACTATAGTGTTTGTGTACTGCAGAAAAGAATGAATAGTCCATGTTGTCGGGGTGCGCCAACATCCAGCAATCCACAAGTCCAAGTCTCCGTCGGGCAGCTGGCTAGCAAATACTGTGAGATAGCACAGCACTAACTCCTCTAGAGGAGTTCAACCAAGGGTCAAGGGGTAAGTTGAAGTCGCCTAACACCGCCAGAAGACTGTTTTGGAATTAGGGATGTAAATGAAGGTGAAAGTATAGGTGTGGTCAGCTATAGATCTCTTAAAGAAAGATATACATACCCATGGGGTCCGCCTGTGTGTCTGTGCATTGGAATGGGACAGTCTGTGCAAATGGTGACCCCCAAACATCTAGATTTCTTTTTGATTAGCAAAGAATACTACCGGGTAGTGTCTGTACCTGAGCGCTGGCGCTCCACTCTTCTTGAAGTGCATCTCCTGTAAGAACACAACTGAGATTCTATTGGCCCAAAGTGTCCTCAACAGCTGTGACTGCTGTTCTGGGATATGGGGGCCCCAGACATTATTAGTCCACAAGGGAAGGGGTGGGGTGGAAAGAGGGGAAAGGTGTGAATGGATGTTATATTGTAGATAACAAGGGGGGTGTGAGCTGCCAGTCACTTACCTTGTCGGTCCGCCGATCTGTCGACATCGGGATCGGTCGGACCGCCGCTCCCACGCCGGGAAAAGATGCATTAAGCATCAGGGATGCTGGCCGCTATGTGCCTGACCCTTTTAAAGAGGCAGCGCATGCGTACCAACCCCCAGTGGTCAGAAGAGCTCTAAACAAGAGAGCTCAACGTACACATACCTTTTGGAGGCGTGGTTATGTAAATCATGCCCCCAATCATATAAAAGCCCAGTCTGCCTCCAAATCAGTGCCCTGTTGTGGTTCCTAGTGTGTCTTGTGTTCCTAGCGTTCCCCTCAGTGCGTTCCTGTATTCTTTTGATTGTTCTTTGTGTTTTGACCAGGCTTGCTATTGACTATTCTGATTTCTGGTTTCCCTGACTCGGCTATGTTCCTCGCTATTGTGGATTTCTAGCTTCCTTTGACCTTGGCTTGTTTCTGGCATTTCTTGTAGTTTCTATTATTCCTGCCATTCTAAGGACCGGTTTAGGGACTTTCAACCTGTCTCTATTATCTTGGTGATTTTTACTTTGTGTATTGGGTATTAACGTTATAGGGCTAGAGGAGACAGAGTCAATATATACCACATTCCAGTCAAATTTACAAAGTGAGTCTGTTACGTGGAGGACAGGGCTGTCCGGAGAGAGCTGGATAACGTAAAATCAGTTAGAGTAGCTTTTGCCTGCTCCCAGCCTACATGACAGAAGTGCACCGTAAAGGTAATAAAATGTACGGAGAGATAACTGAAAAAAAATCACATAGTCAATAGCCAGGTAGAGCAATGTAAATTCGTTAACATAATATATTCTCACAGTAAGCAAATAAGGTGTCATATGCAGCCACAGCACAATATTAGTCCCATGACCCATCTGTCCAGAACCCACGGGGGGGGGGGGCGTCAGCTTTCTTATCTAATCAGTAGTTATCCCGAACAGACCGACCCCGGTCTGATCCCCTGTGAATCAGTCAGCCCCTCTGTACATGATTGGCCAATTATAGGAAGTGCAACCTTGACAATAAAAGACTCTCCCGGGCCCCCCAAATCTGTTCAGTCAAAAGGGAAGATATTGCCCCAAGTCAACCAGGCCAAGGTGTTGTGCAGTCTGCATACATGTCTTCCAGAGTATTTCACATGGGTCATCTGACAACTCACCAACCGCCCTCCTCCAGCAATCATACGCCAATCAATCTACCCAGCTGTGCCAATGTCCGGGTGCAGAGCAATAAACCGAATTTGCCCCAACCTGGTCCAGGCCACTGCTTCCCCCAGCGGGGCCCTGGCACCACATACCCAGTGGGGCTCCCCTGGGGAGACAGCCACAGGACTCACACACAGCCTCCAATACATTTCAACACAACTCAGGATATGATGTGCAACAAACCGGATTGTGGTTCAAGCCCCGAGGGCAGGGGAGCAGTAGAAGGGGGGTGGGTGGTTTCAGTACAGAGAGGCCTAAAGGCTAAGTTCAGACGTGGTGCCAGAGGAAAATGGGGCAACTCTGTCAAGATAAAAACGGGTGCGGGGGGCACGCAAACAGTATCTGAATATCTAAAATATATTAATCCTACAAAGGGTTAATAATCCAGGAGCAAGTTATCAGTATAAATCAAAAGATATTACAAAGCAAATAAAATGGCAACAATAAATAGAAGCAGATGCTTAAAAAACATTTGAATAAATGTCAGATCTTCTGAGAAAGTCTATAATTCGAGTGGATAGATCAATAAAACCAGAAGTTTTATAAAATGAATCCTCATATAGTCCACAGATTGTAGCAAATGGGCAATACACACACTACTGTGTATATATAGATGCACAGCTGTGGGACCCTATTGCCAAATGTAATATAATTTACTTACAATAAGTAAATAAAAACAAAAATAAATATACAACAAAATAAAAATAAAAAGTAATACAGTGCCTTGGACAACTGTATACTGGAAATAAAACAAAATAGCAAATAAAAGAAAAAAGGAGGGAAATGCTTCAGTGTAAAAAGTTCCAAGTCTTTATTGAAATTCAGAAGAATAAATATAGGTAATCATATAGATAATAAAAGTAGATAAAAAAAAATACAGACAAAATGCTCTGGCACTCCAGGAAGCTGTCCTTATTCAGCAAAAACCTGTTGGTTAGGATTTGTGGGAGCTATGGTCTTCTTCGTGAAATCTCTGGCGGTATGGCCGGCGTGCAAACAGCCCGAGTAACACCCGAAGCCTCACTCCCAATCTTAGTCCAACCGGTAGCCAGGAGGGACAATCCGTGCCGAGATGTCATGAAGGGTTCCGTTCAGAATGTTATTAGATCTTAGAGCGTTGCCGTAATGATACTCTCAACGAGAGCGTGGTAATCAGTCCTGTAAGGCACTGTATCTCAGTGTCGTCTGCTTGCCTTACGCATTTCATGAGGAATTGCCTCACTTCTTCAGAGGCTATGGTATTGAGCAGTATAGGGACATGGTGTATATATATATATATATATATATATATATATATCTCAAAATCAATTAGTACCTAAATTGCTGAAGTGGAAATCAATCAATAAAATGATTATTTTGTGTATCTGCCCCATGTCAAATTAAAGAAACAGTGCGTGCACGCTCCCTGAAGTAATTCACACCAGACACAGGTTTCAGGTTGATGAATAACTTGAGGAATCTTTATTCAGAGGGGACGGCAAGTCCCTTTTAAAGCGAAATTACATCATAAGCATTGTCAGAGATAATATGAAATAATACTTTATTAATTGGTTAGGTGTTAAGTGGTTTCCTTAATGCTCTGCCTACTAAGGATGATGTCACTGGGACCACGAGGGTCTCCCCCAGATTCCAGCGCCATCTTGTTACACGAGGTAGTTAGTCGGTGTTAGGGGGAGGGAGGGGTTGGAAGCTTCTAGTGGCCATTCTGTCTAATCACATGTTAATAGCTTGTGCACTGATTTCGGTTAGATGAGTAAATAGACATTTTACTAACTAAAAATTATGTCATATCTCATTTCCACAACAGTCCCCCCTTAAAATGGCTATTTACCAAAAGACAACTACCACTGTCCCTAATATGTCCCTAGCTGCCTGCAGCTCATCTGTCTTAACGGGCCTCGAACACTTCACTCCGTGGGTAACCCGCAGCGGCCAGTACACTACATCTCCACACGTGAGACTCCTGCCCGTAGAGACAGACGCTATCCCTATGCTATCCCTATAAAAATGCAGTTGTCTGTTTAAATTGGTGAGATTGGAGGGGTGTGTGTGGTGTGTCACATTCATGGTCAGTGGCGTCTTGGTGTAGGAAAGAAGGCGTTACGTTGTCTATGGTCTTTCCTACTGTCTTCAGCAAGTTAAGAACAAGAAGATAATGATCATTGTAAGGACTGCTGTCCCTACTTGGAATAGGGTTCTCTGCCAACCATTCATCCATCCAAACCATCTGTCCCATACATCAGTGACCCCTGAATTATTTTGTAATTCATCTGAGAGGCTGTCTAATTTCTCTATTGCCATAGTTACCTTACCATTGGGCCCAGTGTTGTCTGGAATAAAAGTACAACATGTGATGGTCTCGGGGAGGATTTTACATACGCCCCCCTTTTCTGCTAGAATCATATCCAGAGCCATTCTATTTTGAAATGTCATTTGGGTGGTAGCTTGCAGTTGTTCTGCCAGGCCCTGTAGGGCATCCCTAGTATAGTTAACAAACCGCTGTTGGTTGTAATAGATATAATTAATCCAATTAACATTCTTGTTAGTAGTGATCAATGGGATCAGGGACTCAAAGCCAGCAGCAACCTCATCTCTAGCTTTAAATTTGTTGGGCACCCCCCTAGGCACTCCAATGGCATCAATGTAAACATGTGGATCAAAACTACCACGGATGGGGACTTCCCTTTTGACTCTAGAGTGTGTATGCATGGGATCAAACACATTTTGATGGCCATCCGGGATAATATGGATGGGCATTATGGCTTTAGTCAGAGTACATTCTCCCCACCATAGCTCAGTTAGTTGGGATCTCAATTGCTTATCCCCACACAGCCAGTAAATATCTCCGACTGTTTTCATATGGTTCATTAATAGTGTCATAGGTGGGTCATGATAGGTGGAGCAATAACCAGATGGAAATTTACCCATGAACTTAGCAGTGTTTGTAGGTATTGAGTAACATGTGTAATTACCTGGGTATCCGGTAACTCCATCAGGTGGTCTAATATGTCCCTGGGTGACTGGATATACCTTTTTCCATGATTCACACGTTGAGGAGTTAGTGGTTGACTGTGCATAGAGACTCAGCACACACAATTTAACATCGGGGGGTAAATTAAGCGGCACCGTGCTCAGGTGGGGCCTAGCTCCCCCACATACATAACAGTTAGTCTTATTGTGTGAATTAGCATTATACCTCATCCACTCCAACCATAAGTCAGTGTCTGAGAACCCAGTTTCTACTGCCATGGTGTCTTCAAAAGTGGGGTTAGCAATAGCAACCATGTCATTTAAAGTTTTAATTTGAGGTTTAAGTGGGTTGATAGTCATGTGATCTGTACCTACCCAGTCAGGTGAGGTGAGCATGTCTTGCAGAAAGAATATCCCCAGCCTGTTATACGAGCCACCACCCTTCCAGTACATACCCATTACATATTCCCCTGCATCCCCTGGACTGGGGTACTCTATGTTCAAGGTGAGTTTAATTGGGGTTGACCCAATAGGTTTACTTAAGGTCATTCTAGAGAGTAGGGGTTTCCCATCTTTGTCAACTCTTTCTAAGGCACATTGGGGTTTAGTATTCCAGTATTCCACCCAGCCGCCTTCCATGAGCTACAATGATGTCCCCAGGACCCTCCAGTCACACAAATGTATGGGTCCTTGTTGTGTTTGTGGGAAAGTACAAGCAACTATATCACAGTAATCAAAGGTAAATGTAGCAACATCTGTGTTTGAGGAATTGTACCAAAAGGTGTAAACATGATCTTTGGTTATGGCTACTTGTTGGGCCTTTGTTATGGTTGGCAGCAAATGAAAACACAGGAAGCATAGAAAACTCATGACTCAACGGGGGCTGCTTCTTCTGGAACAGTGTAAATAGAAAAATCTACAGAACAGAAGAAATAAAAACTCATAGAGTAGTATAGCCAAAATACATCAAATCCCTGCTAATTTAATTGCACTCACAGACATAAATTGATAGTAGGCGTATCTCAATAATGGAGAGATGGAAAGGAATCCTCAGCATGGATATATGGACATGTAAGAGAGAGATAAAACCGCAAATAAGTGTAGATGGTAAATGGTTAAACCCTGCACTGTAGTTAATTACACTTACAAGTTTGTATTAATATAGAAGCATATCATATCATAAGATATCATCCACAGCCATCCTCCTCCGATAGATGGTAAATGAAAAAGGTAAGAAGGATACCGTGACTAAAAACTATTTATTAACAAAAATTAAAACAAGTAAATAAATAAATAAACAAACTATAATAAGTAAGCAGACTAAAAACTCTCTCCACAATCATCCAACCCTACGCGTTTCGTCCTTAGTAGATCGGACTTCCTCAGGGGTATCAGGATCTCCCGTGCAGCATCATCCTTTCCTTTCGGCGTGGTTAAATAACCCGATCAAACTCCCGCCATAATCAGCCTCCAATCAGCGCTACGCTGTTCCGGTTGTCTTTACAGCGTTCCAAGCCTCATTTTCGTATAACGTTCTTGTGCGCATGTGTATAATCGGCACTTCAAAAAAGGGTTCACGGTCGATCCAAAAGTTCATGTAAAGTCCTCCCTTCCTCCATAAACCATCCCAAGAGGCTCATAGAACATAATGACACATAACAAAGAGAGATGTTATAAAAACAATGTTAAAGAATTGTATTAAAAATTACGTTACTATATATCAAAGCAGAAAGAAGGAAAAAAGGTATCTTCGTGATATATATATCCACACCCTTATCAGAGGCACCAGAAAATTATATCATCCAAGTGAATCCCAAAGACACTCTGAAAAGAGTCATATTAAATAAATAGAAGCCTAATATTAACTAAAATAACTAGAATCTAAAAAACTATAAAAACCTACAAAAGGACCCTAAAAAATGTATTTTATATTAGAGAACTTCAAACAATAAAAACAGATCATTTCAAAAAACAAACTAAATCAAAATCAATATTTAAACCTCGAGGTTGCATAGTATTTAATTTAGGTATCCAAAAGCCCTCTCTCTTCCTTAATTTGAGCATCAAATCCCCTCCTCTTTCATCAAGACACACTTGTTCTATTGCTATAAAATTAATGTTATTCTTAAATAAAGGGCATTTATTACAATGTTTTGGAACTGAATGAGAAATAACCTTCTTCCGAATATTATTATAATGTTCGAGACATCTTATTTTAGCCTTCCTTCCCGTCCTCCCTACATATTGCGCCCCACACCCACATGTAATGAGGTACACAACATGTGTGGAGGAACATGAGATTCGGCTCTGGATTTTAAATGTCTCCTTCGTTTGAGTACTTTGAAATTCTTTAAAAGATGTAAATGAATAACTACACGCCTTGCATTTTCCACACGTATAGAATCCAGTATGAGGTTTAGTTTCTTTTCTTTTCCCCCTAAACATACTTGGGGCCAAGATATTTTTTAAATTGTTACTTCTTTTAAAAATCATTTTAGGGTTATTAGGAATTTTAGTTCCAAGGACATCATCTTCTAAAAGTAATGCCCAATGTTTCTTTACAATCCTTTGTATATCGAAAGCCTTTGAATTAAATTGAGTATTGAAAGCATATTCATAACCTTGATCTCTCTTCTTATTTGCATGGTTATCTCTTAATAAACTCCCTCTTTCTCTATGTCCTATTCTAGCAATCTCTGTGTCTAAAGAGTCCCGAGAATAGCCCTTTTCTAAAAATCTATCCCGAAGAGTATTGCTCTGAGTAAAGAACATATCTTTATCAGTGCAATTTCTCCGGATTCGGGTAAATTGACTCTTGGGTACTCCAGTCAACCATTTAGGATGGTGACTACTATTTTTCTCTATATAGCTATTAGAGTCGGTTTCTTTAAAAAAAGTTTTTGTTTTTATTTGGTTATTCTCTATATAGAGAGTGAGATCTAAGAAATCAATTTTCTCTTTATTAAAGTTGAGAGTAAATTTAAACGAATGATCATTATTATTAATAAGACCAATAAAATCCAATAAAGATGCCTCAGGGCCCTTCCAAATAATTAAAATATCATCAATGTACCTATTCCAGAGCACCAAGTTCGCGCCAAATGGATTATTGGTCCAAATATTTTTCCCTTTCCCAAAAGTCCATAAAAGTATTGGCATAACTAGGCGCAAACTTGGTGCCCATGGCCGTACCATTGATTTGTAGATAGAAATTGTCATCAAAAATAAAAAAATTATGAGTAAGAACAAAATTAATAGATCTTAATAAAAATTCACTAAAAGTAGGCTCTATTTCATCATCATTTTCCAAATTTGATTTGACTGCTTGTATCCCTTTAGTATGCTCAATAATAGTATAAAGGGAAGTAACATCAAGAGTTGCCCACATAAAACCTTCCTGCCATTCTATAGTTTCCAATCTTTGTATAAGGTGCTTTGTATCTTTCAAATATGATTTAGCCCCTTGTGCATATTTCTGTAAAAAGAAATCATTGAATTCTGAAAGTCTAGAGGTCAAAGAATCAATCCCACTAATTATTGGTCTTCCTGGTGGGTTTCTTTTGCATTTATGAACCTTAGGCAGAAAATAGAATGTGGAAATTCTTGGGGACTCTAAAAATAAAAATTTAAAAACATTATCATCTATCAGTTCTTCCCTTTTCGCTCCACTTAAAAGATCTTCCAATTCTTTTTTAAAAAGAACAGTGGGATTACTGCATAATTTCAGGTAGGTTATCTGGTCATTTAATAGTCTATAAAATTCTTTTCGATAATAATCCATAGACATTACTACTACTCCTCCACCCTTATCGGCATTTTTTATAATTATATCCTCTCGTTCTTTTAAATTTTTTAGAGTTATAAACTCCATTTTAGTTAAATTATTCCATTTTGTCTTCTTCTGTTGTTTTTTTACATAAAACTTCAAAATCTCTATTGAGCATTTTTTGAAAAGCTTCTATTTGGGGGCCTTTATCGTGTGGAAAAAAAGTTGATTTGGGTTTAAATTTAGTAATAAATTCTGATTTTTCTGATTGTTTTAAACTCTGACCATTGTCAATTCCTTCAATTTCTTTTTTAACCCCTTAAGACCGGAGGGCGTACTATTACGTCCTCTAATAGGCGGCTCTAAACGCCGCCGGGCGTAATAGTACGCCCTCCGGTCTTTCTGTACTTACCCGGTCGCCGGCGGTCCCACGCCGGCGATCGCGGTGGGGGGGACTCCCAGGGAGCCCCCCGCGGCACGACCGTCCTCCAGGAAGCCCCCCGGCCGTGTGAGAGTGGGATCCTAGCGAGGACCCCACAATCACATGGCCGGGGATAGCTGGCTTCTGTATTGCCAGCAGGGGGCTGCCTGTAATGACAGGTGGTCCCCCTGCTGGCTGAAAATAAAAATGAAATAAATAAATA